AACACCACTAGGAAATAGCATTTTAGGAGCGGCGCCCCCAGGCCAGGCCGCGTTGTCAGAGCGCTGCCCTCCAGGAGCGCTGGCCGGGAAGTCCTTCTTCGGCTTGTGGGATGGCTCCTGTCCTTCCCACATGCGCCCCATTTCCCATGGATGTCAGGGCAAAGGGAGGTGTCATGTCTAGAAAGGGGGAGCCCACCGCCCCCCCTCAGGAGCACGGGGAGCTCTTTCTTCACAGAAGGAAAGTTCGACTTCCGGAGCGGGCAGCTGGTCCGCATTATCCCGGCTCTGCTCCGCAGCTGCAGCGTCAGAGGCTGCTCTCCCCGCCGCCTGTTTATTTCTGTTCCCCTCCACCTCCCTCCCTCCGGCTTGTTTTGCTCTGGCCGTGGGGAAGCAGGATAAACAAACCCCAGAGCCCCATGCTTCGTGTTGTGCGTTCCCCGTCTCCTCTCCTTTAGAAGCGGTTCCCTGGCCCCTAGGGCCCTGCTGAGACACTGCCCAGCAGGTTCTGGGGTGTTCTAGGGCCCCGTAGGGGGCAGGAAGGGGCACAGGGCAGGTTTTCTGATCCAGCAGACAGGGTAAAGGAGGCGTCCTGGAGCCCTCAGCTGCTTTTCAGGCTTTTGTTGGGGTTCACCAGGCACACGGCAGGCAGGGGTGCTGGGGGGCCGGAGGCTGGCAGGCCGCCCAGCCCCCAGCGAGTCTTCACTCTATCTGGGCTCTCCGGAGTTTTCTCCTGGCCTTGTTCTCTACTCTTTTGTGGTTCTCTCTCTCTGGTAGTTCTGTTCTGTTGCTTCTGCTTCTGCTGGCGTCCCCGCGACGCCGCCCTTAAAAGCCCAGTCTCAGCCCAGGTGAATCCCATCTACCTAGGCCCACACCCTACTCCAGGTGCCGCCATCAGGCATGCGTTCAGGACCGCAGGGATCCCTCATCTATCCTGATGGCGGGAGGGCAGAAAAGCCTGATATTTTCTTTACCCTACAGAAGTCTTCGTGTCCTCCTGCCCGGCCTGACAGCTGGTCAGGTGTGCAGCCCAGGTGTCCCTGCATCTGTCCCATGTGGCTGCGCGTCTCGGCCCCGGTGAAGTGTGGGAAGACAATCCCCAGCCCCCAGCCCTGCAGTGGTACCCGAAAAAGCTCCCCAGGTCACCTGCAGCCCAGGACAGGGAACCACTGCTTCAAGCCCAAGATGTTTCCCCTTCCCACAAGAGACACTGATCCCCGCGACTGCGAGGGGCGGGGGTGGGGGAAGGCACTCCCATGCCGGGACGGCCGCGGGGAACTGCTTGTCTTGGGCTCTGTGGTTTGAGGATGAAAGACCTTTGCTCTTGTCCCTGGACACCTTGCAGCAGCTGTGTGACTCTGGGCAAATAACTCGACTTCTCTGGGCCATCATCAGAAATTCATGGAGGAAAAAGTGAGAAGCTGCCCCGGGAGGCCCTTTGCACAGTGCCGGGCAGGGGGTGGGAGCTGAGCGCACCTTCTCTCGCGTCACTGTCCTCCCGGACTCGCCGCCTCTCTGGCGTAGCCCCCGAATGTCGCTTTGTTGCACTTGGGGGTGCTCTGAGGCAGGTGTGGCCCTCAGGAAGCAGGTAGTTCGAAGGCAGCCCCAGCCCGGAAGCTGGTTCTGAGTTGGTCATATTTGCCACGAGGCTGCCCTGGAGACCCCCCTGGCCTGCGCGTCCCCCAGATGCTGGAGAAAGAGGGCGCTGGTCCACCCACCTAGTCCCAGTTACAGCCACGAGACCGGAAGCAGCCGGAGTGAAATCAGGAGGGGACCCCTGGATGAGAAACACTGGAGCTGCCCGGACACCCCCTCCCTGCTGGGCTCCCAGAGCCGGGGCCCTCGCCAGAGGCAGGGGTGGAGAGAGACTCCGTTGCGAGCGGGAGAGGAGACTCAAGGCCAAGTCCAGGGCCCCACCCAGCTCTGGGCACAGGGGTTCAGAGCCGTGCGGCTCTGGGGGGCACCGGAGACCCTGTCTGGGGTTCCCTTGCTTTCCTCCATCTGTACTTACAAGCAACAAGCGCAAAGCCCGATGTCCTGAGAGGGGCATCCCCACATGCATACGCAGGAAGCTCTGAGCCGGGGCCCCAGCGTGGCCTCGCCCCAGCACACGCTCAGGACCGCCCCGGAGCTGCCTCGCCTGACAAGTCGCCTCCAACTTGCAGGAGCGAGCAGGAGCTGCTGGCAGCAGAGCGGACTGCGCGGAGGCCCCCCGGGCCCTGATGTGCTGAGGGGCCAGGAGCTGCGCCCTGGGGAGAGCAGAGGACCTTAAGGCCGATGCGGGTTGAGCTCCTTTGTCCAGCCGGCAGCTTGCTCTGGCACACAAGCGGTCGAGGCGCCAGCCTTGCTCAGGCTATGGGCCCTCGACCGGCCTCAGTAAGACGCGCGAGCTCCTTACTCGCCGCGTGAGGTGCTGCCGGCCAGGGGTGGGCGTCACAAGGGGCGCCCGTGATGCAGCGCGTGGCGACCGGCCGCGTGGCGACTTCCTGAAAGAGGCTGAGTGCTGGGCCAGGGCCAGGTCTGCATCTGCGTGGGGGAGCTTGTTCTAAGGCTCCCCCTCTCCCGCCCAAAGGCAAAGCTTCCTCTTGGGACACCATGCCTTGTTCTTCTCCAACCCCGGCTGCACCTCAGCGCCCCCTCTTTACAGTGGGTCAGGACTGGGGGAGATCTGGGGTCCCGCGGCAGGAGGGTGGCCCCAGGCGCGGCCTGGGTGGTGGCAGGTCAGGGAATGAGGTGGCGGCTTCGTGGCTGGGCCCAAGCAGCCATGAGGGCCACAGATGCTCCGGAGAGCCTGGTGGGGAAGCAGCTGGCCCTTCGCCGGCCCCTGCCCTGGGACCCCACATCAGCTGTCTCCCTAGGGCCCCCCAGCAAGGCAAAGTGCTGGTCTGGGCTTGACCTCAGGAGCTCTTCTCTGGCGCTTCCCTGTCTAAAGGGGAGGCCCTCTGCCCCATCTGGGGCCATGGCAACAGAGAAGCAGAGGTCTGGCCCGTGAGCATCAGGGCACCCCTGCCATGGGGGAGCAGGGGTGCAGGGGGTACAAGACTCGGTGGGCTAGAGACTGGGGCAAATGCTCCACTTAGAAAAACCCCCACTGGCCTTCAGGTTTGGGGAGGGACCAACTACTTTGAATGTCCCTGTTCAGAACACGTGGAGGTCGGCAGGCTCCTCCCGCAGAGCAGGCGCTGTGGCCGCCGTCCCCAACTCGCCACCGCGGCCACAGGCCAGGCGGGCTGCCGTCTGCGGGGCAGGGCCCGGTAATGGGAGAAAAGGTGGGAGATTCCCCTCCCGGGGCTCCCCTTCGGAACGGGGAGCAGTGCCCACAGGGGGAAGGTGGGCAGGCGTGGAGCTCAGGAAGGAGGAGCCAGGGCTGCTGAGGTGGGAGGCAGACAAGGCCGTCCGGGCCTGCCGGTCAAGGCGGGGAAGCTGTTAGGGGGTCCACGTAGTCAAGAAAACCTGAGGGCCCTCACCTCTGTGCCCCTTCGTCCCCCCACTGCTGGGCCGGCCCCGGGCTCCTGAGTCTGGAGCAGTCAGGAGTCCACCTCCCTCTCCCCTCGCGTGTGCGGAGAGGGCCGCCTCCTCCATCTCCAGGGGCCCCGCATGGCCCCGGGGCCACGCTGCGTGGGCATCTGAGGAAGAAGCTCCCGGGACTTACAGGAAGTGTTTTGGGGGCAGGCAGGGGGCTCACAAACCAGGCCAGGCCGCCTCTCAGGCACCGCTTCTGATTATGTGGGGGCTGACACAGCTGTGGGTGTGAATGTTTCCTAGCGCGGTTGGTGGGTTGGTCGCTTGGTGAGAAAGCTTTGCCCTGAGGCCGAAACTGCTGGGAAAAAGCAGAGTTTAAACCCTCTGCCCACAGAAACCCAAACCTCTTAACAGTCACTGACGTCCTCGTCAGACCAGAGAGGGGGTCCTGTGGAGTCATCCGGAGATCCCCAAGAGAGTTCCTGCAGGGACATCATCGTCAGGCCTGGGAAGGGTCTGCCTGCCGCCGCAGCTCCAGGGTAGAGGAGGCCGGAGAGGCCTTTAGGGCCTGCCCCTTGGGGCTGCCTGGCTGCCTGGATGGGGCTGTTTGCTCCATAATCAGATCACCCCTCAGCCTGCATGTTCCCAAGGGAGGCACGCGCAGAGCCCGTCCGTCCGTGGGGGAAAGGAGGCAAAAAGTCATAACTAGGGCCACGTCCTGTGAGACAGTGTTTGAAGGAAAGTGCCATCTGGGTGGCTCCGGGGGGTGACAACTGTCACAATCATTTGATGCCCTGGGGGCGGGCAGCATCTGCCAACCCCACGGGCCAATAACCATGCTCCTCCTTTATGGGGAGAAGCCCTGGATCTGAGAGTTGGGGACAAGTGCCGAGGCGCAGGTACCCAGGGAGCTGCCCCACATGGCGCAGCAGACCTCCCCTGTCTCCCTGCTGCGCCCCCCCAACCGCCGGCAGTGGGTTTCAGTAGATCCTCCTGGTCTGCTTCCTGCTCTGTCTCTGGTGAATCCTCTTCCCTCCCTCTGGCCTGCACCCCAGTTCTTTTTTTTTTTTTTTTTTTTTTTTAGATTTATTTATTTATTTATTTATACATGCACTGGTACAGTCAGAAGCGCGGGAGGGTGAGAGAATTCACCAGAGCCAGAGCGGGGAGCAGAGCAGGCAGAAGGACCGAAGTACACTGCTGAGGGGAGCAGCGGGCGGCAGGAGAGGTCTGCGCGCCATGTGGGACCCTCCTCCGGTGGCCGGGGAGCAGCCGGGGATCGAACCGGCGATGCAGAGGCTGCGGGCAGCTTCGCAACCCAGCGCTCAACCGCTGCGCCACTGGGGAGCCCCCCAGTTCTTATATGCATAAATAATACTTGAAAAAAAGAAAGCAAAAGGTAAAAGGTGGGGAGAAGAAATCACGGTGTCGCCATGACTCTGCCAGTGTGGCCTTGGCTGCAGCCCCCCCTCTTTCCTGCGCTGGGGGGGAGCCTCTGCCCACTGTGTCCAGGGCACCAGTGACCCCGGGCTGCCCCGCAGGTGGCATGGAGGCCATGCTGATCCGGCTGGTGAACGGCTCGGGCCCGCACGAGGGCCGCGTGGAGGTGTACCACGACCGGCGCTGGGGCACCGTGTGTGACGACGGCTGGGACAAAAAGGACGGCGACGTGGCCTGCCGCATGCTGGGCTTCCGCGGCGCGGAGCAGGTGTACCGCACGGCGCGGTTTGGGCAAGGTAAGGCGCTGGGAGGGAGAGCCCCGGATCCCCAGCACTGGCCTCCTTCCTGAGACCCCTCGTGGCCACCCGCCTCCTGTCACCAGGCCCCGCTCCGGCAACCCCTGCCACGGCCACTTGCTGTCCCCCGGCCACCTGTGGACATGGCCCGTGACTGGGCCACCCCCTCTCCTTGCCTCGGCTTCCTCTCTTTTCCTGCCTGCTGGTCAGAGGCCCCCTCCACCTCACACTGGTCTCAGGGTCCAGTCTGGGCCCCTCCCACTTAGGCCAGTCCCTTTTTCTCTCTGCTGTGAGGCGCACAGATGCCTGAGAATGCCGTTTCAGCTCAGGCTTTTGGCTTAAAGACCCAAATCCACACACCACCTTCTCTGTGGAGGAGCAGTTAGGTCACCTTTTATTACGAATTTGTCTGTCCTTGGCATGCTCTGCAACTCCATGCGTGCACCTGCTTCACTCACCCCCCACGGTCTCCCCGGCCCCATGCCAATGCCCCGTTCATCTTCAGGTGAGCAGCTCCAGCTCCTGCATCTTGTCCTCAGATGGCAACATTTCCAAAGCCTTCACCAGTTGGGTTGCTTTCCTTTTGAGGCGTTCAAGCCCTTCTTCCTGCAGATGGTACAGGAAGTTTCCCTGGCAGAAGGTCCATGTCCCCCAAGCCCCTTTCCTGAGCACTTTCTAGACAGCTGAGGGCCAGACTAGGCTGCATGGGGCATGGAGGTGAGCAAACCTGGTCTGCACGTGTTCCCTGCAGACAGGGAGGTGGACGGGTGTGGGTTTTGCACCGCGAGGCAAGGGCCATGCAGCACGGGGAGTCACGGGGAGCGGGGCGCCTCCCCAGGCCGCGGGCGGTGCCGAGGTCCCTCTGACCACATCACGGACCTGCCTACCGCGGCCCAGCACACGCCTGCGGATCATCACCTGTCTGGGAACGCTGCTGAGTCCCGGGGCTGGCCTTCCGAGGCACAGGTTTGGGCTTGTAGCATGGGACCATCTGCTCTCAGCCTCAGGAGATGGGAGGTAATGCTGGCACTGGCCTGCCTGTGCACAGGGACAACAGGGGCACAGGGACAACCCAAAATCTGCCTGACACTGTCCGTCTGCTTAGGCCTGCCTGACTCTCATCAAACAAATGTCACAAGACATCACAGCTCAAAGCCGTGCAGTGTCACGTATAAAGTGCGGGCCTGGCAGACGGCTGGACTTGGGCCTGAGTTCAGACTCTGCCCACTTACAAGTGAGCAACTTGCACTGAACGCTTTCTGAGCCTCGGTTTTCCCACCCGTAAGATGGGTTTATTAGCGCCAGAGGACCGAGGAAGATCGCACAGGAGACACTCGGGAGAGGCTGCGATCGCCCCAGCAGTTACTATTCTGCAGTGGAGAAACTGAGCCTAGAGAACCGCAGTGAGGTCTCGGTGGCGGGGAGGAGGCAGGTGGGAAGCTCTAGATTCGAGAATGGCCAAGAAGGCCTGACAGCCTCGCCAAGGGCCAACGCGGCAGAGCACCCCGCCCTCCTGCTGAGACCCTCCGTGACTTGTCTCCACAGGCACCGGGAGGATCTGGATGGATGACGTCGCCTGCAAGGGCACAGAGGACACCATCTTCCGCTGCAGCTTCTCCAAATGGGGGGTATCGAACTGCGGACACGCCGAGGACGCGGGAGTGACGTGCAGCCGACACTGACGGGGGGCGCCCCAGCTTGGGGGCCGCAGCCGGCCTCCTTCCTGCTCTCCAGGGCGGGGGCATCGCTCGGGTCACCCTGACCAGCTCTGCCTCGCCCAGCCCAGCAGCGCCCCCCTCCCGGGCCAGTAGCAACCTGTTGCCCTTGTCCCCGTGGACATCTCCAAGGTGCCACTCTGCGTCTACTTCCTGCCCCTACCCCAGGACCCACTCGGGGGGGCCCCTTGCCTGGCCTCCTAGACACCCGGCCCGGCTCCCGAGGCCTCGTTCCTCCCGTCTGTGGCTCGACGTGAACGCTGACAGGATGTCGAAGAGAAACGCAGCCCTAGGCACGGGAGGGAGTACCAGAGGGTTCTCTTTGCAGATCATTCCCAGACCTGTTAGGCCAAGCGTCCTGACATCTCTCCAGCCACGGGCAACACCCAGAGACTCCCGTTCCCCTCTTTGCTCTGCCTCTGCCCCCCGATGTTAGTTTGCTGACGTGACTTAGAGAGGCAGCTGCAGGAACAAGAGGGAAACACAAGAGCCGATCCAGACGTGGAGGGGGCGGGCGATGTGTGTGTGCTGCGAGACCAGCACGCACGCATCAGGCCCCGTGGCGCCTGGGTGCACACGGCCTGCTGGAGGCACTGCCCACGCCCTGGCCTGCAAGCCAGAAGACTGAGAACAACTGACCTCTGTGTCCACCGCAGCGCGCCTGGCCGGGCTTGAGCAGGCAGCTCGCGGTGCACGCGGGTGACTGAGTTACAAACCTACAATGCTCAGGTGTGAGTGCGAGACCAGACACGGCTTGTTCCCAGGTCAGCCAGGCACACAGGGGGTATGGAGGGCGACACAGGGTTGTCTGGGCGAAGCGGAGACCAGCGCTCAGTGCCTGGCATCACCGTTCAAGTCAAGTCCTCTGCATTGTTAGGAGGGCATGATATAGAACATTCCAGGCTTCTTGGGTGTGATCCTGGGGTCAAGCGAACATGTGTCCTGGTGGATCCTACCAAGGTGTCAGGAAATGGATTCTCTCTAACCTCTGGAGCAGGATGGGCACAGGAATCTGCAAGTCCTCATCCCGCGCCCTCCCCCGGGAGGTCATGTTCTGCTTCGGACAGGAGGAAGGGGCCGAGCCGCTCACATCATGCTCCAGGACTGGGGCTGCATGGCAACAAGTGCGCACAGACCCACTGCACCTAGGGAGCCAAAAGGCTCAGCCAGACCCGGGGTGCACACACGCCTGCAAGCTGGGTGAGCAGCAGCTTGTCTGGGGCTCCTCCGATGCAGACCAGCAAAGATCCTAAACTAGTCTGTGCTGTTGGTTGTTCTTTGCTTACAATATACTCGATATTCATTAATGCCCTAGTGACCAGAGACTCTTTCTGCCATTGCTATGTGTAGGCAACACGCAGGGCCCGTGCCTCTCTTGTCCCGGGCCGACCACGCACGTGCGCGCATGTAGACAGAGCGCTCTTCCCCGTTGGCTCCGCGCATCGCAAAGTTTGCATTTAAAGAAGAAAATGCTACAGGTGGAGAGATGTCACATTGAATGCAATAAATTCCTAAGATGGTTCTGGAAAACACCCACTTGCCCCAGTAAGGAGGACCCATATAAGTTGGTCTTTGGGGAGGAAAAAAAAAGTCTTGTTTTCCATCAAATGAAAACAACAGCGATAAGTGTTTGAACCTTAAAATAAAAGTCTACTGGTTTACAATCCTACTTAAGAGGGCATGGAAATAACCATGGACCTGTATTTCAGGGACTAGAGGAAATTAGGCCTGGCCTAAAATACATCAGGCCTTTTTGTAAGAAAAAATTTCAATAAAGCTGAAAACATGTCACTGCTAAGACTTCTGTCACATTCTTTCTGATGAGAAGACAAGTCCTGTGGGAGGACTGTTGAAATCTGGGTGTTCTGATCATTTTTCAGCAGCAATTAGTAGGAAGGGCAACTTAGACTGAGAGCGTGGTGGAACAGAGTGTCACAGCCATATGTGGCAACCTAAGGACAGGGTTGGAAGCAACAGAACCACATCGAGGCCCACCTTCTAAGACAATTGCTCCTGGAGTCACCTCAGGGATTTGCTGCCCTTGGAAGTTCCATTCACATGTAAGAGACTTTCCAGAGTTAGTCAAGATCTGTGAGGCCAGGAGCTCCCAGACCCTGACCCAAGGAGGGTGTGCGATGCCCCAGGTCATGGTGCCATCCTGGCAACTCACTCGCTCACAGCCAGCACCCCTGGGAACACCTACTGTCAGGACCTTAACAATTTGCTAAAAGATGTCAAAAGAGAAAAGTTGGCCTCCTGGACATCCACCATGGAGACCTCCATCTTTCCTCCCCTAAAACACCTGGGGATGCCCCACCTGTGGACAGGGCCCCCATTCTGTCCACAGCCTCCATGGAGAGGGACAGCCCTCTCTTCCCTGCCCTCTCTAGAGTCTACACATCACCACTCTTGCCCTCCCCTCATTGCCTGCCTGTGAGGACCAGGTTTGGGGGCCTACAAGTGCTGGAGTTAAGCCAAGCCACTCCATAGGCTGCATGCGTGGAAAGGACTATAATTTCTTCCATCTCTAAAATCAATTGACAGACTTATTTATTCTTGAGTCACAAATGGGACTAAGCAGGAAGTTGTTTGACATTTGGAGCTGTATGACTTTATGCGAAGAAGAATGCCAGGCAGGTCCCCCCACAGCGCAGGCTAATCATAGCCAATGTGGTGACATTTCCTAAATCAAGATAAAGAGCCCTTTATTATTTATACCGTGCTTGTTTCCTAAGCTATGTAGTTATAATCAATGTCTTACCCCTCCATGTGTTTCTGAGACATAGTTACACACGAGCATAGCAAACCAGAAAATTAAGAAACGTATCTTAAAAGCACATCTTTCCAGACCTTTCTGGAGTAGCTTAGTGTTGGGCAGCAGAGGCAAAGGGCAGGCAGGGTTCAGGTAGGGGAAGGGTGGGGGTAGGAAAAAGGACAGGAGTTGGATTTGTGAGAAACCACCACCACCAAGGTTTTGGAAACTTCTTGTGAGGACTCATTTCTGAAGATCCACTTAGATCTTGTTATATAAACAAATCCAGAGATTAATTAGAATCAGAGATATTTTCACAAGTAGTGTGAACCCTCTCCTACTGCCAAGTTCTCATCCCACAATTCTGGGCAGTGGTATTTTCTGACGGAGAGACTCCACTGTATGAGCAAAGGAATGTTCGAGGAGTTATTCTGGCAGTTGTGCCATGAACACAGCCGACCTCCTTGGACATGGTGCCTTCACTTAGGACCTTTCAAGTGGTGAGGGGCAGTCCCTCAGTGAGGCTTATGTTAGAATGACTCCCCGAAATAAAATCCAGAGCCATTGCAATGCGGCAACCAGGCCTAGAGCGGGCAGGGGCCTGGGGACAGGGGTGGGAGACTGCAGGCCTCCCAGGCCCAGTGAATCTTTACTCTTTGGGCTTTTTCTGGTGTGATCTCGTGGTCCTGCCTCTCTGTAGCCACTCATCCTCCCGTAGCTGTTCTCTGCTGCAGCTGTTTTCTGTGTGAGTGATGCAGCCCTTAGATCCACAGCCTCCAGGCTCAGGTGTGCACACACGCGCATGCCCACACCAGCTCCAGGTTTCCACCATCAGGCCCGTGTGCCCCGAACCCATGCTCCCAAGCTCCTCTTGCATTCAAGGCCACAGATGATAGCCACAGAGGCCAACGGTGCAAAAGCTTGACTATTTCATCACTTACCCTACACCATTCATTTTCTACCCATTTAGTAAAGTCAAAACAGAAACACTGAAATGGGTTGAAAATGTACTGCTATTAATAGGTAAGACCTTGCAGAGGAAAGGTTCTCTCTGTGACCTTGAATTCAAAATGAAACAAGGAGAAAAAAAAATAGGGAAAATGAGTAGAATGTTAGTTAACTATAGAAAAACATCAAATGGCAAATACATATATAGGGGAGGTCATATATATTGGAGGTCAAGGAAGAGGCAAAGTCAGAAAACATTTGAGGACATAATGGCTGAATCTTCCCCAAATTTGGTGAAAATTAGAGACCCATAGGTCCTTAAAATTCAACAAACTTAAAGCATGTGTAAAATGAAGGAACTCTACACCGAGGTATTTTGTAATTAAATTGACTGAAGGGCCTCCCTGGTGGCACAGGAGTTAGTCTCAGTGTTATCAAGCTATCAGCAGCCACTGCAGCACAAGTTCGAGTTCCATCCCCGGCCAGGGAGCTGACCCACATGGCACAGCAGACCTCTCCTGTCTCCCTGCTGCTCCCCTCAGCAGTGGATTTCAGTAGATCTGCCTGTTCTGCTCCCCGCTCTGACTCTGGTGAATCCTCTCACCCCCTGCACCTCTGGCCTACACCCCAGTTCTTATATGCATAAAAAGTAAAATAAATCTTTAAAAAAATAAAAATAAATTGCCTGAAATGACTGATAAAGAGAAAATCTTAAATGCAGTCCATGAGGGAGAAACCATATGTGACAGGAACAGAGTTAATAATATCAGCAGGTTTCTCTTCAGAAACAATGTAAGTGAAAATATAGAAATGCAACATCATTCAAATACAGAAAGAGAAAACACCTGCCTGCCTAGAATGGCTAACCCAGTGACTAGCTCCTGTCCAACACGAAGGTGATATGTAGGTTCTTTCAGACACGCAAAAGTTGAGTTGCTCACCCCGCTGATCCAGGCTACACGAAAGTTAAGTCTAGATGGCAACAGTCACTTCATGGGTTCATATTTTTAACTGCATTTAAATCTTTTCAAAAGATAATGGACTGTTCAGAGCAAAAATAATGACAAAGTTTGTGTCGGAAAGGGCGTGGAGCAAATGCAGAGCCGCATCACTCTCACCGGAGCTGGTGGAAATGACCATGGCACAGCCGCCTTGGAAAATATCTTGGCAGCTCCTTAAATTCAGCCATTTCAATCCTAGGCATTTTCATCCAAGAGAAACAAAAGCACAGTTTCACCCAAAGATTTGCATGCAAATGTTCACAGCAATTTTGTGATACACAAAAATTGGAAGGACCTAAGTGTCCAGCATCGGTGAGTGGATAGGTCAGTGGGTGTGTCCGCACAGTGGACATCATCACAGACCAATAAAACTGAATGTGGACCTTTAAAAAGACATTATGGACAGCTTGAAGCAAACCCGATCAAGAAGAAAAAGAGAAGACACAAAAAGGGACTTCGAGGCAAGTCAGAGGGGCGCTAAGAACAAGCGTCCTGCCCTGGCGTTTTTTAAAGGAAGACGACATTTCAAGTATTTCTGAAGGCCAGAGTAGCATCCTGAAGTTGAAAGTGCAATGACATTTTAAACAACAGAGTCTGCAGGTGGTGAGACTGGTAAGCACTCACTACTCGAGACTGGAAGTGTATGGAAAGGGGAAAATCACAGGCCAATCCCACCCGTCGACATAGAGGCAGACCCTCGACACTGTGGATCAGCAAAAAGCAGCAGCAAAATATAAAAAGCATTCTGCGCTGTGCCGCGTGCAGCGTGGAATTTATGCTAGGAATGGAAATTGCCTTCACTTAGAAAATCTACTTATGCAAATCACCACATGAATAGATTAAAGGATAAAAAGCCTATGTAATCTCAACAACAAGAGGGTCAATATTTGACTGTAATACTGCTGCACCTCCTAGGGTGGATGGGACTTGGCATAAGGGTGTTACCAAAAGCCTGTGATAAACACTCCTAAGCGCGAACCCCGCCAGCCTCCCCTCTCGGCAGAAACGTGGCCAAAACGCCACCACCTCTGCGTCTGCGGTATGTGCCAGGCCTCCGGGCCCGCACAGTGAGAAACAAACAAATAAATAAAAAGTGTGAGGATTGGAAAGAAAAAACAAAACTGAGTATTTGCAGATGATGTGGTGATGGGCTCAGAAAACCCGGAGTCTGAGCGCGTTATTAGAATGAATATGGGCGTGAAAATCACGAATGAATCGCCGCGGGACAGAAGGAGGCGCCAGCGCTCCTCTGAGGTCTGCTCCCTTTTAGTTCTATGCTTAATCCTGAAGCTTGAAAAAAAGGAGACGTGTGTCCCTGTGTGAATGTCTAAGCTCTGCTAAGCTGTGAACGCCGCAGGGCGCACCCACTGAAACGTTTTCACAGATGGACTTGTCACAAATGACTGGGGAGCAGAGCACTGGGCTTGGGATCATAATGCCCTTGACAGGGTGACCCCAGAACATCTCTCCAGCCGTTTCTTGTCCCCAGGGCCCATCTCGGGCTCTAGATTCGAGGGCCCTTGACAAGCCCGTGCTGTCTCCCCTGCAGAGGAGTTCTTCCTTCCACTGCCCCTCTCCCCTCTTACTGTCCTTCACTCCGGGAGAGCCCTCCCCGATGCTCTCCCTCGGGTATGTCCTCTTAGTACCATCTGCATGTTCCTGCTCTTCCCCGTCATGTCAGCGCCCCGATCTGTCCAGGGTCGGCCTCTCCCACGAGGCCATCAGCTCCAGGATCGTGGGAACGGGTTGTCCAGTGTCATGGCACCTGTTAGTGGGTCTGCCCAAGGGCAGGAGCTTAATATCTGAGAAAGGGAAGAAGACATAGAGCAAGGAAGAAAATCCTCTCCTTTCTGCACTAGCGAGAACTGAGGGATGTGTAGAGGGTAGTAGGGACAAGTCAGTGTTGACTTTGCTTTCTAGGGAAATAGCCCCATCTCAAGGTGCTTTAGCATATTATTATTTCTAAAGTGCATTGTGCCCAGTGGCAGCTTCCCAACCACGTCTCCGGAAATTCCATTTCTAATACTGATTAGATTTTGCTGGTAAATTGCATTGGTAGAAAAATACTGGTAGGTAAAACTGTTAAATC